GGGAACTGAAGCATCTCTGGAGCATCCTTGGAGCATTCTTCCCTGGGTGGAAGCCGCAGGCAAGCTGCAGACAGCCCCAGTCATTTCTCCAGGGAGAGAAGGCAGTGAAATCCCTGCAGAATCCATCTCCTGGAGCCCTGTGGGGAATGACCACAGCGCTCCAAGCAGGGACATGGATGTGCCAGGCGTCCTGCAGGCTGGGCACCCATCCCCAACCCAGCCCTACACCCAGATGCACCCGAGTTGGGGTGCAGCCTCAGAGGAGCAGGTGTGGCTCTGCCCATCCACTCGTGGAGGATGAATCTCAGGTGGCATCCGGCTGTGGGTCACCAGGACTCCAAAATCTTCATTTCCTCTTGTTCCACCCCTGGGAGGCTCCTGAGGAGCCCATGCTGGGCTGTGACTCCCGTGACACACACGTGTGCATGAGCCTGCCTGCACCGACACAGCGCGCCCGGGTCTGCAGCTCCACGCACAGCCACGCATCCAAACACACACACACGGGCACTCAGGTGCACTCACGTGTGTTCATCCCACCCAAATACGTGCCCAGGTGAGCAGCAGCTCCATGCACACGTGGCCCTGCACCCCCTGAACGATGCCACCCCGCTTGTGTGTGTGCTGCCACTGGAACAACAAGGAGCTTCGGCTCATTGACGACAAGGAAGGCTGCAGGTCCCAGTTTTGAGTGTTCACAGGGCTCAGGCCTCGAGTCGCAGGAAAAATAAGAAAATAAAGAAAAAAATAAGAAAAACAATGAAATAAGGGAAACCAATAAAACAAAGGGAAAAATAATAAAAACGTAAAGGTAAACCTAAAAAATGGCTGGGACTTTACGTATCAAAAAATACAGGGGAAAAAAAAAAAGCTCTTTGAGGAGAATCACTTCAAATTGGCTATTTATCGGCACAGCATCCTGCCGGGAGGTTTCCATGGCTACCTGGCAGCCAGCAGCCGGGGCGGCAGCGTGCCAGCCCCATGTGCCACACCGCGTGTCCCCGTGGTCCCCCCCTGGGGACGAACCTTTGTACCGCACCCGTGCCTGATGCTGCGGGTGTTAGGCGAACCCCAGCGCCCTCAGCCCCGCTGTGGGGGGCTGCCCCCAAAGGCCAGACCCCGAGGGTTGGTACCCACCTGGGGGGATGCCCGAGGGGCTGGAGGGTGGCAGTGGAGGCACGCTGGGAAGGGGGTGCCCTCGCAGAGCCCCCCCTGCGTGCTGGCACAGCTGTGATGGGATGAGCAGAGGGTGGGGTTATCCCAACCAACATCTCTGTCCTTCTGGGGAAGGACTGTATTGCTTTAGTGGGCATGGGTTCTTGGCCCACAGGACACGTGGCATATCCATGTCTCTGCTCCAAGGCCTGTGGTCACTAAACTGTGGGACTCCAGGAGATTGCTTCCACAGGGAATTCACCGCCTTATCCTGCTGGGAAGAAATATCTGAGAGCTTGTTTGCAGGTGAGAGAGCAGAGCTGACCCCACACCTGGGAGGGGGCGATGCTCCAAGTCACTTCTGCAGCCCAGAGGAGCACCGAGTCCCTCCCATCACCCCTGGAAATCCCATCCCTGCTTTACCCCACCCCAAAAAGCCCTGGAGCACGGTGGAGAGCAGGGCTGTCACCCAAGGGACGGATGCTGCCACCTGGGCAATGGCCCCACAGGGACGTTTCTGCAGACTTTGGTCTTGGGGATGTATCGGACTGGGGGAGGTGGGAAGCGTTTGAGGGGCAACGAGAACGGGGGTTGGAAGGAGAGGACAGAGGGTCCCCCCAGGCCCAGCACTGGCCATGAGCGCCCCATCCCCCTGGCTCGGCACCGGGCAAGGTCACCCGTGTGACGTCCTGGGCGCGGTGGAGCCGGCGGGTCCCTGTCCCCTCCCGCAGCCGGCTGACAGATGTGAGCAGGCAGGGGACGCCGGGAGAGGCCGGAGGGCAGGCTCGGTGACAGGCGCTGGACGGGGCTGCAGGAGCTGGCACCAGCCGCCCTCCTGCTGCCCTGTCAGTCCCGGGGGCTGCAGGGAGGGGGACCGGGGGGGCTGCTGAGACCAGCCTGCAGTGGTGTGATGGCTGATCCAGGTCTGTCACCCTTCCACCTCCCCTTCCCCATCCTTACACTTCCCATCCTTCCCTTTCTCTCCTACCATTTCCCCTTCCCCTTCTTTCCCCTTTCCTCTCCCCTTCCCCTTCTTTCCCTTTCACCATCCTTCCCTTTCCCCTTTTTTCCCTTTTCCTCTCTCTCAACCCCATTTCCAAACCCTGGGAAAGCTCTTGCCCCCTCAGGCTACCCAAGCTGTTTCCTGGGGTGTTGTTATGATACGGTTATTAAAATTATTAGATAGATGCCTCTGCCTGAATTAAGGTGCAAATGAGACCATGTGTCAAAGTCAAAATGTTAATTAACCATTTCAGTCTCTCATAGGTGTTCAGGAGCTCCATCCCAGAGCTAGATCCTGGCCCTGCCAGCATGGGCTGTCCCAGGGCCTTGACTGTGGGTGCAGAGCTCCAGCACCTTTCCAGCTAGCATCCAAACCAGGATGGCTCTGGCACAGGATGGGTGGGCACTGGTGACAGCGTCTCCCTGGCATGGGGAATGCAATGGGAAAGCTGCACCCTGACAACCCCCAAACAGCTCCCTGGGACACCCATCCCCACCCCAAAATACATGTGGGGGGGTTTCTCCCTGCTCTGCCCACACCACGGTCAAAGCTGTTGGACCTGTGGATGTGAGGAATAATTTTCCAGATCACTGTAAATTTCTTTCCTTTTTTTTTTTTTTTTTTTTTCTTTGAGAACAGCTTGTACCGACCTTGCAATAAAAACAAGGCTTCGGGTTCCTCTGTGTGTTTTTTTCTGTTCTTTATCTGTTCCCAGGATAAATGTCAATGAAAATGGAAAAGCTTTTCTCTGTTTCACCGTTTTCTTCCCTCCCTGAAAGAGTCCTCATATTTGAGAGGGAAAATGGTGGAAAAATCAGAGAGGGACACCCCCCCCCCTCGAAATTGCTGAAATTGAACTTTCTCATGGATATTTCTATGGGCGTGGCAGGACCGGGAGGGATTAAACAGATATGTAGATGTGGCCCTTGGGGACATGGTTTAGTGGTGGGCTCGGCAGTGCTGGGGGAACGGTTGGACTTGATGGTCTTGGAGGGCTTTTTCAACCTTAATTAATCTGCAGTTCCACGATTCAAAGCAGGAATCGGTGTGGCTCGGACCATCCCGGGAAGCTGGGCTGGGTGTCTCCAGAGGAAGGAAGGTATCTCCTTGCATGCACAGCATGGGAGCTCACAGCTCTGAGCGTGATGTAGAACCCATTTGCAGGGAAAGGATCCACAGAGCAAATTGCTTTGTATCAGCAAATACATCTCCATTAGCGCTGGAATTGGTATCCTGCACAATGTGCACTCGAGGACAAAGCCCGGCTATTCAGAGCTCACAGAATTCAATCCTGTGGCTGAGGAGTCTCAGCAGAAGGCAAAGCAAGGCTTGTTTCATATTCACGCCACAAATATCGGTACGAGGGCACAGAGCTGGAACGCTGCCTTCGGAACGCTGACAGCACCTCGCCTTCCTGGAAGTAAATAAAGACATGCAGCCTGTGTCAGTGCCCAGTGCAGGATCACCAGCAGCTCTAGCAAGGAGAAGCAAGAGAGATTTGTAGGAGACACTGTGTTGGACTCTCCCAGGACCCTCTCCTGCCAGCCAGGAGGTCAGGATAAGGCGTCCCCACCAGACGCACCAGGAGGAAGTTTCTTTGTGAATCTCACTGGCCACCTTTGAGCAGCAGGTCAGGCCAGGGAAGTCCATGCCCTATAGCAACCCAACTAGACAGGGGACATCGCAGGGAGGGGACGGGCCACCACAGGCAGCATCTCCACCACCAGGCACATTCCTCCTCCTCTCCGTGGGCTGGAAGGGCTACCCAGCAATGTCCACCCAGCGATGTCCACCCAGCGATGTCCACCCACCTGCCTGGGCACCCAGGCTGCATCCAGTGATGCCCACCCAGCAATGCCAGCCTGGGTGCTTCCAAGCAAGAACGAGCGGGGATTTCTCTGCCAGGCCCCAGTCAACGAAGAACCCTGGGCAGGAGATCTGCAGGTTCAAGCTGGGGGCTCACCCATGTGGTTGGGACCTGCTTGTGGGCAGGGACCCGCTCTCTGTCAGGGCCCTACCTGTGGCCAGTGCTGTCCAATATTACAGAATCACAGAATTCTGATTTGGAAAAGCCGAAACCATCAAGTTCAACCGTTCCCCCTGCACTGCCAAGCCCGCCACTAACCCTTGTCCCTGAGTACCACATCTCCACGCGTTTTAAATCCCCCCAGGGATGGTGACTGCAGCGCTTGACTGGGGAAGAAATTGTCCCTAATATCTAATCCAAACCTCCTCTGGCACAACTTGAGGCAGTTTCCTCTTATAGAAGAGGAAATATACTGCTTAATGCCGCTCAGTGCCTTTGGGAAAGCAACCTGCTGGTCGGGTGTTGCCTAGCGCTGCTCAGCGCCCCTGGGACAGGGACCTGTGGGACCGGCGCTGCTCGGTATCGCCGTGCGCTGCCGACGTCCCCGGGTAGCCAAGTAGACGAGGCTTGCGGTCCCGGCAGGGCCAGAGGCGCCGGGAGGGACGGCTGCGGCCGCGGGGAGCGCGGGGCGGGCAGGGCCGGTGCGGGTCCCCAGACAAAGGCGGGCCCCCCCCGGCGCGGAGCGGCGCTCGGGCGCGGCCGGGCGCGGGGCGCGGTGGGCGGCGGCGGGCGGCAGGTGCGGCCCCTTCGGCCCCTCCGCCGAGCGCTCGGCCCCCGCCCAGCCCCGCGGAGCCGCAGCAGCGCCGTCAATCAGCGGCGCCCCCCCCTCCGCCCTCCCCTCCCGCACGCCTCGGCGCGCTGCATCGGGCTCGGCGACAGCGCCGAGCTGAGCGCGGCGGGAGTCTCCGCTCCCAGCCGGCACCGACAGTCGGGCGCGGCGGCGGCGGGGCTGGCAGGGCTGCCGAAGCATGCGGAGCCATGGGCCAGGGCTGCGGACACTCCATCCTCTGCCGGAGCCAGCCGTACCAGGCGGCCGCGTCTGACCTGTGAGTCCCCTCCCGCCGGCACCGGGGATGGGGGGACCACGGCAGGAGGGAGGGATGCTCTGGGAGTGATGCTGGGCGAAGGAGGGAAGGAGACACCAGGGCGGCAGGAAAAAGTTCCTCCTGCCTGACAGCTGGCAGGGAGGAGGTGGCAGGGGAATGACAAGAGTCTGTGACCCCCCTTTCCCCCACCCTGTTCCCCACTTGCCACCTACGTTAGCCCAGGGCAGGTCATCGCTGGCGTCCCTGTGACAGAGGGCTGGTGTGAACAGAATCTCCCTGTTTCCCCATCTCCCTCACCCCACGGTCATTTCCTGCAGGGGTGGAAGGCTCCTGGCCCAGTGGTGGGCTGCAGGGGGGCCCTGGGTGACTTTGTGAAATGCAGGTCAGGCCTCTGAACTGTGATTTCGTTGGCTTCACGCAGGTCAAGAGAAGCCGCCCCTTGCACACCCACCCACGTACACAACAGGTCTGGGGGTCCCGGTGCCACAGAGCCTGTCTGCATCTGGCGAGGGGGGAATGGGGCTCCAGGGGTCACAGTGGTCTCGTTCTGCAGCAGAGACATCGGGGGCTTTCAATGAGAGCGTGGGGTGACCTTGCTGAGGGATGACAGTGCTCCCTGGAAGCGGGGAAGGGTGATGCTCTGAAGCGCCCACGTGGGAAGAGGGGCTGAGCTGGATAACGGGAATCTGGCGGTGCCTCAATTCCCGTGGCCCACGGGCTCGGCTGGGGCTGGCGGAGACCCCCGGCTCTGCCCGCGCATGTGCGGCGCTCACGAGGCTCCACAGCTGCCGGGGAGCAGGCTGGGCACGGGCCATTCACAGGACCTGGGTGCTCTGCCTCCTGGGTACCGGGAGATCTGGGGTGCTCCCGGTCGCTTCCCATCCTACCCCGGTGGGATCAGGCTCCACATTGCCAGAGGGCGAGCTGAACCGCGGGAAAGGGATACAGGTGTAGGGCAACGAGGAGGGAGGCTGCTCAGTGCTTGGATTCCTTTGTCTGACAGTGCCAGCTCCACATGCTTGGGCTCTGGCTGAACTGCCTGGCTCAGCAGCTCACGCAGGGAGCACCGGGACCACCGCTCCCTGGGGGCACCTTGCTGCACTGGGATGTGCCCAGGAGCAGCCCCAGGTCTCCGTGAGCAGGTGCTTTAGGTGATGACAGGAGTATTGGGGTGCAGGGAAGTTGTTGCCCAGTCCTGCCCCAGCCCAACACATTACCCTCCAGCATCACCGGTTTTTACACCTTCGTGAGGTCACCTTTGGATGAGAACTTTACCCCTCTCTGTAGAAAACACCCTCCAGCATCTCTGGGGTGTGGGGCTTGGACCCACCTTGTCAAGACCCCAAGAGCTGCCAATCCTCCTACGCTGCCACGGGTGCTGGGTCTGTCTCTGCAGGCAGCATCCTTCCCCCAGCTCTCCCGGCTCACTCCCTGGTGCTGTGTGTGCTTTGTTCCCTGCAGAGATCCTTCCCTGGTGCTGCCTGCACATGTGCACGTGTCCTTTTCTTTAAGCAAAACACACAAAGGTCTCAAAATGCCATGCAGCCCCCATGTTCCCTCCAGCTGGAATGCCTCTGCTGCTCTCTAAAGGCTTTTAAAAAAGGTAGATGATACAAAAACTTGGCGTAGCCGAGTTGGCTGTGCCCCTCAAGCTGCCCCGGGCAGGAGAGGTGGGAATGGTGAGCCCAGCTGCTTCCCCCTTTTACCCGGGATATAACCACATGTCCCTCACAGATATTTGTCCCTGTCCCTGCATACCCCGAGGGTTATACAGAAGTGGAAAAGCTTCCCAGGAGCTGTCAGAGGATGATGCCCTTGGCCCTGCAGCGCTGGCTGGAGGGGTGGCCGTGGTGAGCCCAGCGCTGCGGGGGGATGCTGCCGCCTCCCTGCTCCCGCTCCAGCCCCCTGGTGTTCGATGCTGGCCCGGGAATGCCGCGTGCGGCCGGGATCCAGCGGCGGCCCGGCTCTCCCACGTGCACGGTGCGCTTCATGCAGGGAGATGCAGGTGCAGCCAGTCAAGTGCCATTTTGCCTTATCCAGGTCACGTTTTAACCCATTTCCGCCTTTTCCCCCGGCGGGAAGCGGGTTCCCGGGTGGGCGGCCGCTGACCCGGTTAGCAGTGGGTGGGATGTCGGAGTGCCCGTAGCTGCTGCTGTCACAGCATCTGAGAGCAGCCGGGGCAGGGGGAGAAGCCGCCGAGCTCTGTGGATGGAAAACACGAAGGAGGAGACGCCGCTTTGAGCATCCCTGCGGGAAGGACCCGGCTCAGCGGAGCTTGGGAGAGGTCAGGGCTTCCTTCGGGCCGTGGGCAGGGCTGCCCGCCCCCTGCCCAGCCCTCCCTGCTGCTTGTCTGGCAGCTGCCTGGCAGGAGCAGCCGCACAAATATGTGAGCTGGGCAAGTGTCACCGTGCTCAGCGCTGGACCGGTGACAGGGTCAGTGCCAGGCACGTGACGGAGGAAGGACCGTGGCTGCAGCCACAGCTGGGATGAGGCTCCATCCTGCCCGAGGCACGGCCGGGAGCCCCTGGGCAGCGGCAGAGGGACCAACCTCGTGTCCTGCGAGGGGACAAAGATGGTTCTTATGCATCTTTGCAGGGGGGTGTTAGTCTGTGCTGGCTGTTCCAGGTCAGTGCCAGGGCCCGGATGGTGTGTGCCCACATCAATGCCAGAGCCTGGATGATGTGTCCCCATCAAGGCTCATGCAAGGGTGATGTGTAACGCTCCACCCCCATTTTACCTCCCTGATGCACCAAACTGGGAGCTGCTTTCTCTGGAGTCCCAGCCTGGAGGGTACCTGGGGGAGCAGCTGGAGGGGCTGATGGCATGAAGTGACATTTGTGATGCTGCTGATGTCCCTACCTGCCACTGCCCATGTGTCCTGGGAAGGGAAACTCTAGTCCCTCCACGTTGTGCATCCTCACACTCCTCCTGCTTGCCTCTCAGCGTGCAGCCCGGGGGCATCCATGGCCGTAGGACTAGGTGACCTTTAAAGGTCCCTTCCACCCCAAACCATTCCACAATTGTGGGGCTTGCTCCAGTGGCATTAGCCCTGCAGAACCCAGAGAGCAAGGCTGTCTGGGACACGGGGGCACAAGCTGGGCTCAGCCGCCTTTTGGAGCATCTGCAAAGGTGAGGGTGGGCTGTTGAGCCCCCTGGAGAACTCCCCAGACCCTCTGCTCTGTGGTTATTGCTGGTCCCTGGGCTGCATGTGTAAAGTGCCATGGAAAATACCGACTCCATCACCCCATCAGTGTGGCTGGGGTGGCTCCACTTGCCAGGGAAAGGGGTTCAGTGGGGTGAGGGCAACCTGACCCCCCATTGCTGGGTTCTCAGATGATCTTCTCCAGGTTTTCCAAAGCCTCAGGCTCTTCTTGCCCCTGTATCTGGGGTTCTTCAGTGTCACCCACTTGCCTGGGCACCCAGCCCTGGAGCTTGGAGGTGCCTGGTAAGGGAATGGAGGGGAAACTCCTGTCTGTGAGCATCCTGCATCCTGCACCTCACCATGGAAGATCCCCAAGGTGAGCCAGGAGCCTCCCCTCCATCACCCTGGGACATCCCCCTGAGCATCCTCAACTTCAGAACAGCCAGTGGTTTGGAAGTGTTGGGAATCAGGCCGGATTCTGGCTCTGTTAGTGAGGGATCTCACCAAGTGTGTCCTGGCCATCATCTCCAGCAGAGCCCTGCACATTCCCCACGAGCTGTGCTGCTCCGGGGGCTCCGGGAGGCTGATCATCCATCAGGGAGTGAATGCAGGATTCCCCAGGGCAAGGATGGATGCAGCAGCCCTTTCCGGGAATCCTTCCTTCCTCCTCCTCCCCTCTGACCCTGGTCCCTGCTTTGGCTTTTGTCTCCTTCCCAGCTTCCACGTGGCTCAGCAGGAGCTGTGTTGGGCTGTGGCCAGAAATGCCGGCAGGGCCCAGAGCTGCCTGGGACTTTCTGCCTGTCCAGCTTTCTCCTGTCCTCCTTAATGGATGGACCTGTCTGGAGGGGGGAGTGAGGGGGATGGAGGGTGCTGGGAGATGCTTTGCCTGCCACTGCTCCATCGGCACAGCAGCAGCAGCGGGGTCAGGGATGGAGAGGCTGCTGAGTGTGGGCAGCCTGGGGCTCGGATCACCTGGGTGATGATCCCAAGATTTGATATTTGGGGGGGGTTGGAGCCTGGACTGTGGGATGGACTGGATGGTTCAGGTTGGAAAGAATCTTAAAGCCCACCCAGTTCCAACTCCCCTGCCATGGGTAGGGACACCTTCCACCAGACCGGGTTGTTCCCTGTCCGATCTGGCCACGCAGGAAAGTGTAGGAAGGTGTTTGGGAACACCTTGTAGGAAGATGTCCCCAAGCCTTGTCACCCACATAGCACCCTGGAGGGATGGACCAGCACAGTGGTCTCTGGGACTTGCTGAATGCCATCTCAGGAATGTCCCTGAGGCTGATTATTTGGCAGCAGCAGCCCTTGGTCCTGCTCCTGTCCCAAATCCTGCTCTCAGCCCCAAATGCTGCTCCTGTCCCCAGATCCTGCTTCCCAGCCCCAAATGCTGCTTCTGGACCCAAATCCTTGTGCCCTGCCTGCAGCACCAGTGTATGGAGTCAGAGGGGAGGAATGACTTGGGAGCATCCTGGGTGGGTTCAAGCCTTCTGGGTCTTTGTCAGTTTGTGTTTTCTATGATCAATCAAAGAGAAAGAGGAGGAGGATTTGGAGGTCGGGTGGGGTGCATTTCCCACTGAAAATATTAACCCCTGATTTTTTGGCTGGGGCTGGGGAGGGGGTTAGGGCCCAGCCCGAGCGTTGCAGCCATTGAGGACAGCCTCACCACGTGTTTTGGCATTCCCAAAGCCCTCTGCTCTCCAGATGTGCTGGAGGTCTGATGCACCTGAGGATGGAAAAGCAGCCAATAGCTGCTGGGGCAGACCTGGCATGAAGTGCTGACTGAGCCAGAAACCTCCCCTGGCTCCCAGTCTCTTCCCAACCCCTTCCCAGCCCCTTCCCAGGCTGTTATTAA